CCGCCACACAGTCATGAGCTCACGCGCGTGTGTCCCGGGGCCCCTGAGAATTGGCTGTCTTTCTGTTAGTGGGTCCGGGTGAACGTTTTCTTTCCTCCGTTCCTTACCCACCGGTTACGGCCATTTTCTCAGCCAACTTGTGGCCGTCCACACCTGCCATCCCAGTACCTGGGAAGCTGAGGGTGGAGTATCAGAGTTCAAGACTAGCCTAGCTCCATGGTAAATTAGAGAGGCCAACCTAGGCCTGATAGTGAGTTTAGTGGCCAGCCTTGGCTATCTATCTATAGCAAGGCCTAGTCTTATACAGGCAAATAGCAAAAGCAACAGTCATGACCCATCTCCAAACTCCCCCATTTCAGTGATGCTTCAGCGTCATGCTGCTGGGGAGTGTTTGTAACTCTGTGTCACCTGTCTCTAAGTGTCCGGGTCCTGCATTGCTGTTGCTCAGGGGTTTGACAGGCTTGGAGGGTGGGACTCCATGGCCTCAGAAGACTTTCAGGGTATGGGAACAGCAGGGTGGGGTTGAGGAGACAGACACAGGGCCTGGGCTTGCCTCTGGGGACTTGTCAGCAGTGGTTGCAGAAGAGGAAAGGCATCAGCAGCTTCACCGGGGCACATGACCCAGCTCCCGGCGTCGGGGACACTGGGGACACTCACTGTGTAATCGGGTCACCGGCTTTCTCTTGGAGCTTTGGTTAGCTCTTCAAGAGGGCTTTGGGTAAGCACTGTCCAAGGTTGATTGACAGGTAGATTAGGCTCAGCAGGCAAAGAGAAGAGAGTCCTTGCCGTTTGAATCCTTGGTTGTCTCTCGCATATGGCATTTGCAGAAAGGGACATTTTTTGTGCACTCTGTCAAGGGATCACAAATATTTACTTATTTTGAAATAGTCTCACTATGTAGCCCTGTCTGGCTTGAAACTCATTATATAGACTCATTACGTAGGCTTCATGCTCACAGAGATCCCCCAGCCCCGTCTCCGGAGTGCTGGGATTAAAGGTGTGTGCCACCATGCCTGGCTTTTTAGAAGGAGATTTATTCATTATTTTTAAGATTTATGTTATGTGTGTTTGCTTGCTTGAGTTTATGTACATCGTGTGCATGCAGGAGCCCTTAGAGGTCAGATTGCTTAGAATTGGAGTGATGGGAAGTTGTGAGCAGCCATGGAGGTGTTGGAAACTGACTTCTGATGGCCTGTTTGACCTTGCTAGTTACTATCCTTAAAGATCTACTTATTTTCATTTTATCTGTGTGAGTTCTGCTTGCATGTATGTATACACCCCACTTGTGTGTAGTGCCCATGAAGGCCAGAAGAAAGGCATGGGATCCTCTGGAACTGGAGTTAAAATTGTGAGCTGTGGGTGCTGGGAACTGAACCCCAGTCCTCTGTAAGAGCAGCCCATGTTCTTAACCTCTGAGCCATCTCTCCAGCCGTTCACTCATTATTCTTAGAGAATCTTGAATAGAAAACATCTGTCAGCTCTAGTGTTGATGAAAACATCCCTGGAGTGAGTGAATAGGTCTTTTCCATTTTCTTGTTAAGCTGACCTGGGGCAGGAGCCAGGGAATAAAAACATTTACTCTGTAACCTGCCATTATCCCTTGTCGCCAGGCTGTAGCCTGTGCGCTTTGCTGTGGGGCCGGTTACATACTTTAGAGGTGTGGGGGAGAGAAATCAGAATTCATTTGACCCGAAATGGTTGGCTTTTCCTTTTAGAACTTCCCCCTTTGTTACCAGGTTATTTTTGTGAAGCAGAAAACAGAAGGGGCCCGTATGAGAGAGAGTGCATGTGATTGACAGGGAGACCATTCTCTGCCGCCACTGAGGCTCCTGGAGTCTGGGGTCCCTGGAGAGAGCAGAGTTGCCTGGCTACCCCTTTGGTCCTGAGGACACCCACTTGGGGCGAGGCAGAAATGGAGCCTGGGGGAAACTTCTTCTGAGCTATCAAAGAAACAAGCGTAGTAGAAATGCCCGGTTGGGCCCAGTGGACTCTGGTGTCCTGTTAGGTGACCCATCCTGTTTGATTCCTGAATTTTGGCTGGACTCCTTTGTTATTGAGATGGGGTATTGCTAAATTACAAGGCTGCCTTGAACTTGCTTGCCACAGCATGTTGAAAAATGACCTTTTTTTCTTTGGTTTTTCAAGACAGGATTTCTCTATGTAGCCCTGACTCACTCTGTAGACCAGGCTGGCTTTGAACTGCTTGCCTCAGCCTCCCAAGTGCTGGGATTGAAGACATGAACCACTACTGCCCGGTGAAAAAAATGTACCATTTAAAGAATGTCCCAGCCGGGCGGTGGTGGCACACGCCTTTAATCCCAGTACTTGGGAGGCAGAGGCAGGTGGATCTCTGTGAGTTCAAGGCCAGCCTGGTCTACAAAGTAAGCTCCAGGAAAGGCACAAAGCTACACAGAGAAACCCTGTCTCGAAAAACAAACAAAACAAACAACAACAACAACAACAACAACAACAAAAAGAATGTCCCAACAATGCTATTCCTCCCTGGACCGCCCACACCCCTACAGTTGTACTGAAACAGGGGAGTAACTGGTGATGTGGGAAGATGGAGCTGTCCACTGAGAAAGACTGATTCCAAAGATGAACAGAGTAAGCCCCCAGGGCGCTCCCTGCAGGGTATGGGAGAACCAGACATGCATGCAGTGCACCAACTCCTCCTCCTGAAATCCAGGGAAGAACCTGGGCTGCCTGTAGCTCTAAAAGCTTTCTCATCCTGGAGGTCCTAGCTCAGTGGTTCTCAACCTGTGGGTTGTGACCCCCTGGGGTCAAATGACCCTTTCATGGGGTCACTAAGACCATCGGAAAACACAGATATTTACATTATGATTTATAACAGTAGCAAAATTACAGCTATGAAGTAGCAATGAAAATAATTTTATGGTTGGGGGTCACCACAACGTGGGGAACAGTATTAAAGCGTTGCAGCCATGGAAGGTTGAGAGCCACTGGGCTAGCCATTCAGATAGAGACATGGGGTGTGGCTCCATGTGTGGTTAAGCCTTGTCTCCAAGTGTGTGAAGTCTTGGACTCAATTCCAGGTTCTGGGGGGCAGGTGAGGGGGAAGCAGTGATAGATAGGAACGCAGAAGTCTGGTTCTATTGAAGTCATTTTTGTTTGTTTTTGTTGTTCAAGACAGGGTTTCTTTGTGTAGCCTTGGCTGTCCTGGAACTCCCTCTGTAGATTGGCTGACCTCGAACTCACAGACATTCACATGCCTCTGCCTCCCTGAGTGCTGGGATTAAAGGTGTGCGCCACCACCAGGCTGAGAAGTCATGTTTTCAGTCAACAAAATGTCACAGCTGCTTTCATATTAGATCAGTATTAAAAATGAGGAAGTGTGCGTGCCTGTGTGTATATGTGTGTGTGTGTGTGTGTGTGTGTGTGAGTAAAGAGTAGAAGCCACAAAAAATGTAATAGGAGACCCCTGTGACCCCTGTTCACATCACACATACACACTTTTTAAAATTTAAAGACAAAGTGTGTGTGTTTGTGTGTGTGTGTATGTGTATGTATGAGAGTGTGTGCGAGAGTGTGTGCATGAGAGAAATTGTGTGTGTGTGTGTGTGTGTGTGTGTGTGTGTGTGTGTGTGTGTGTGTGTAACGGGGTTCTCTCCTTCCTTTCCATGGGTTCCAGGGGTCAAACTGGTTGTTAGGCTGGCCTTTATCTGCTGAGCCATCTTGTCAGCCCCTGTTTTGTTCTTGAGACAGGGTCTTCCTTAGGCTGACCTCAAACTCATAGTCATCCCTCTGCCTCAGATCCCAGGCCCTGCAATAACAAGCACAGTCCGCTTTGCCTGTTAGTGTTATCAGAATTTGCCATATGTAGCCGGTATGAGATTTTCTGGGAGGAAATAGTAATATTTTACTGGCAGGGAGCTTGTGTTGTGTAAATGTGGTGTCTACATCACATCCATGCGTTTGTGGCGAAGGCAGTCTTGATCCCTTTGTCTCCAGGTGGGTTCTGAAGGTCACACAGCTTTCTAGGCCCGTTGACTGGCACCACCGGCTGCCCCCAGTGTGTGGCCTTGCTGTGTTCTCAAGCGTCTTGTTCTAGAGACACGTTTCTTGACGCTGCCTGGCAGGAAGATGCCTGGCTCCCATCAGTTGGCTTGCCCCTTTCTCTCTCTGCTGTTGTTGGTTCTGATTAAGTGACCAGGCTTCCTGGTGGATGCGAACACCTCCTACTCTGAGGATCACAGCTCTGGGCAGCCTCTTGGAGATGCTCTCTACCCTGGAGATACTCTTAAATAATGGAAGATAATTTTGTGTGGACCAAGTCTGATTGTTTCTACCCTCCAAATACCTACTCTTTAAAGCACACCAGGGCAAATTGCAGGTAGTGGCTGTGCCACCACTCAATACCAACCTGTTGGGACTCTCAACCCCATGTTACAGATGAGAAAATCGAGGCTGGGAGATAGAGAGAGAGAGATGGCCCAGGTCACGCAGCTGGTTAATGAGGGAGTTAAACTGTGCATTCGGGTATGCCTAGTCACTAACTCGCGGGTGCTAGCCTCCAGTCTCTGGCCTTTTAACACAGAGGCAAGTGCCTTTGCCACTGCTGCCCAGCTAATGCTGTGTTTAGTTGGGAAATGGAGGTGGCCTGGCCGTGTAGTGGGGTTGTGAGGCGTGTGGTGCGGGTGTGTTGTCTGTGATGTACTTGTGCAAACGACTGCTAAGAAGCCACATTTGTGAAACCCCGCCTGTCTTTCTTGCCTACATTTCAGTCAGAGCTAAGACATGGTCCGTTTTACTATGTGAAGCAGCCACTCACCACAGACCCTGTTGATGTTGTACCGCAGGACGGACGGAACGACTTTTACTGCTGGGTTTGTCACCGGGAAGGACAAGTCCTCTGCTGTGAGCTCTGTCCCCGGGTTTATCACGCTAAGTGTCTGAGACTGACATCGGAACCAGAGGGGGACTGGTTCTGTCCTGAATGTGAGGTTAGTTCCCGATGAGTGAATTCATTACCTGCCTCATTTCCTCTCCTTTCTCTTTTCTTCCTTTTATTTTTTAAAAATTTCAAATAATCCAAATAGAGGGAAAGAGAAATGTCTTGCCTCCTGCCTGCTCTACCCCGGCCGCCCCCCTGGGGACCCGCCTCCGCGCTGGCTGCACTGGGGCAGCCCTTGGAAAGACATGTCGCCTTGCCTGTCCCTGCTTCTCCACGAGCCTTGGGAGCGCTTTGAGATCCGCGGCTGCGCCTCCGCCTCCGCTGCTTCTGCCGTGAGTGCCTTGGAAAGGGACCTTGTAGGTCTGTGATGGCTGACGATGCCTTTTGAAAAGATCCTGTGCTGTGGTTACCTCCTCCTCCTCCTCCTCCTCCGTTCGGCCGCGAGTCCTCGCCAGTCGCCCAGCTGGGAAGACTGCTGTGGTGTGTGTGTGTGTTCCACGTGGTGACCGTCTCGTGTTTTCTCTCATGCAACAAGTATTTCTCCAGTGCCTGTTAGGTACCGGGGATTCGACAGCACGTTCGACAGAGAGGATAACCTTGCATTATTATTTCTGTTTTGGGCAAAAGAGGACAGAACCCCAAAGACAGTTACTTATCATAAATAGGTTGAAGAAAAGTGGAGAACATGGACGGAAAGGTGGGAAGAGGGAGCTGAGGTGCTGGGCGTCCCCCCTTTAAGAATCCAGGCCCGGGAAGGTCACACTGAGACATGAGGAGGACCCGGAGGGGGAGGACATCTGGGCAGAGGAAGCCACAGGTTCGGTGCTGCAGCCATGCGTGCTAGGCTGAAGGTAGCCACCCCGGCGGCGTGTCCCACCCCGGCGGCGTGTCCCACCCCGGCATCGTGTCCCGCCAGCAGCAAAGCTGAACCGACCCGCCAGGAAGCCGACTGCTCGAGCGAGCTCCATTGTTCTGTGCAGCTCACTGATGCTCCCTCTCTGCACTGATGAAAACAAGCGTCGGCCGAACACGTCATTTCATGTAGAACATCTCTGGGATCCCACTGTGCAATGAGTTAGATTCTGAGGAAGCTTCCTGTGTGTGAGAGGGAAGTGTCGCCTAGATGTGTGTGTGGGAGGAACTCAAGACAGGAAAAGGCCCGTGATGCCACTCTTGGGTAGGGAAAGGAGAAAAAGAAGAAATAAATACTTTGGACTTCAAAACAAAGGATGATGGCGTTGAAGGGGTCTTGTGCCTCTGTCACAGCAGAAGCCGCCGGCTGACGCCCCCCTGGGGTTGCTCCAGAGAGACTGGCACACCCAAAGAAAGTGCTGACTGCTCCCTCCTCTGTGTAGAGCTGGGTTTGCTCCCCCAGTTTTGTGGGTCCTTGAGTCTCCAGCGGTTCTCTTCTGTCTTGAGCATCCCGTCCCCATTGTCCGAGTCACCAGATAGCATGGTGGAGACAGGCTGCCTTTCTATGTCTGAGACGCCAGAGCTAGTGACCATCCTGTGTGGGAAGCAGCCAGTGAGGTAGGGCCAGCCAGGTTGTTTGGTGCCAAGCTTGCTATCTCACCGTTACGATAACGACGCCTCTCTGTCCCCTCGGCCACACACAAGATGGCTGCCGGAGGCTTAGGTATCATGTATGGATGGTCAGCTATTTCCCTAAGAGAATAGCATGTCTCCTAACTTCTCTTTTATCAAGTGGGAGGATTTTCCCCAGTGTCCTCCAGCTAATTTGCCCTTGGGCTCCCGGGTCAGCATTGCTCACCAATTCCCCCATAGAAAAAGCCTGACTGGGACTCCTGTGCTGTGCTGGTCAGTCCCTGGCAGGAAGGGGGAAGGAGTGGAGATTGGAGGGAGGGGATGGCGGAGGGCTAGGCGACTCCCTCTTTGTCCACTGTGGATATGTGGCACTCGGAAAGAAACGGGGTTCAAGCGAGCAGGTGTACTTGCTGTGTTCAGATTCGGGGCCCTCAGGTTTCCCCCCCTGGAGTGAGCTGGAAAGACAGCCGAGAAGATAAAACGGGGTCGATCTGTGTGCCCTGCACCATTGTCAGTTTCTGAGTGACTCAGTGTGGCCCTTTGCCTGACGACCAACCACACCGGGAGTTCACTGGAAGGCAGGCCCCGGAGATGGGACAGGTGGAAACTGGTTCCAAATTAACTGGAGCCAGGGTCTCAGCTCTTGTTCCGCAGATGGGCCAGAAGAGTCCCTGACGTTCTAGGGTTTTCTCTTTCTGTTGTTGCTGCTCCGCAATCCTCAGAGTCCCCAAGGCCCGGTAGGAGGCTTCTGCCGCAGTCTGGGTGCAGTTGTTTTTCTGGGTCCTTTATGAAATGACCATTCTGACCTGGGTGTGGTGGCACATACTTGTAAGCCCACTTGGGAGGCTGAGGCAGGAGGATTAGGAATTTGAGGCCAGCCTGGGCTACATAGTGAGATTCTTTCTCCAAAGAGAAAAGAGGAAGGGAGGGAAGAGAAAGGAAGGAAAAGAAGAAGAAAAAAGGTAAGGGATAGAAAAGAGAAAGTGGGGGTGGGGGGGTGGGGGCAGAGGAGAAGCCTGGACATGGTGGTGCACACCTTTAATCCCAGCTCTTGGGAGGCAGAGGTAGGTGGTTCTCTGAGTTTGAGGCCAGCCTGGTCTACATACTGAGTTCCAGGCCAGCCTGGGCTACATAGTGAGATGGTCTTAAAACAAAGGAGCGGTTGCCCCTCGCAGGACGCCCACAGTGGCCTCACGTCCTTGGGCGTGGAGAATGAGGTGTGTTTCTCATTGGCTGACCCCCTTCCCTAATTCTACAGTGACCTCCATCCCCCTGCACCAGCAGCGTCCTTGAGAACGGCCCCTCTAGTCTGCTCAGCCGTAGCTCAGGGCTCCCAGAGGATGTGGCTGGTGGCTGTTGAGCACACATTCTGGGTTGCACTTCTCGCCCTCCATCTACTCTCTGTGGCCTTTTCTTTTCAAATTCAATTCTTAAGACCCAGAGGTTGCAGTCTGCCACCTTCCCAGGCCCCGGATCAGATCATCATGTCTTCATGAGCCCACATCACTTCCTGATACAGTGCATGTGGATTGACGTCTTAAACCTCTGCCCACGGATCCAGCAGGTGCTGGCCTGGTAGCCTGGACTAATGGCTGTTCCGGTGCCAGCCGCTGATCTCGTTTAGCTGGGAATTGCGTTTACCTGCGAGTGCGTTAGCAGCAATGGAAGGCGGACAGATGCATTGGTGGTCACGTGCTCCCCTAACAGACCTGTGTGTGTGTGATTTTTGACTTGTAGAAGATTACAGTAGCAGAGTGCATCGAGACACAGAGCAAAGCCATGACGATGCTGACCATTGAACAGCTGTCCTACCTGCTCAAGTTTGCCATTCAGAAAATGAAGCAGCCAGGGGTAAGAGGACTGACCATTCCCGCTGCTCTGAGCGCAATGGCGGCGGTGGCTTCCATTTTGTCCCTTTAATGTGCTATGTGTGCCTTTGGTGGCCTTGCTTTTCAGGCACACAGACATCCTCTTGGGACCTTCCTGTATGTCCAGTCGTAAGATACGGTAGCCTGTCCTGGAAGAGTTTAGTCAGAGGACAGGTGTGCTAGTGGAGGGTGTGGGGGTGATCCTAAAGAGCTGTGAGGTCAAGATCACATGGTGGAACCCCATTGCCCAAGGAGGGACTCTCTGCTCCGCCCCAGGCCTTTCTGAAATTCTGGGAGAGCACAGTACAGCTCAGTTTAGTGAGACTGAGCCAGGGAGTGAGATCTCCCAGGTGGGCAAGGCTGTCCTTCATAAAGGGGGGGTGGGTTTGAAGTCTTCTGTTTGAACAGTAGAGAAGTGGCCTGCCTCCACCCCGAGATCCTCCACTGAGCCACCACTGTGGTCGGTGTGTTTACCATGATGGTTTCAGGAAAATGTTAGAAGAATACCTTGTTTTATTTTTTCTGTGGTCATGGGGATTGAACCCAGGGCCTTGTGAATGCTAGGTGAGTGCTCTGTTATTGAGCTCTATCCACTCCTATCACCAAAATATATATGTTGTTTTAAAATGTAATATTTAAACCCAGTCTTGGTAGCACATGCCTATAGTCCCAGCACTCAGGAGGCAGAAGTTCAAGGCCACCTTGATCTCCTAAACAGGTTTCAGTCTAGCCATGGCCACATAGCAAGACTCCGGCACAGAAGTCCCCCTCCCCCATTGCCTCAGGATATTAAGATTAATCCCATACTGCATTTTCCCTACAGATGAATTCAAGAAACATATTGGGCAGGTTGCCCCTTCTGTTTGTATTAAAAGCACCCTGTGCTCTAGTGAAATTCCTTTGGGTTCATTTGCTAAGTTCACAGAAATGTAGACTCAAGATTAGGACTCACCCATTAAACCTCTTTCAAAACAAACGCGGCCATCGAGGTGGCCCAGTAGGTAAGGATACTTGCTGCAGCATCTGCTGACTAGGTTCCCTCCCCAGGCTCCGTGTGGTAGTAGAGAACCAGTTCCCCAAAGTTGTCCTCTGATTTCCACACACACACTCTCACATGCCTGTGCTCACATACATACACTAAATCAGTGTGATAATACAGAAAATAAGAGATGTATTCTAAAATCTGTTGTTATCTGGGGGAAAACATCCAGATCCTTCCAGTTGGCTGGTGTTAAAATGGGAAACCCTTTCTCTTGAATCCCAATCATTGGGAGTAAAGTGTATAGCCAGAATTTGGTACAAAGAAAAAAGATCTTTATATTTTTACTGTGGAGTGTGTTTTTTAGGTTGAATGTGATGAGTTGCTTCTGATTCTTTTAGTTTATAAACTGTGTCTGCTAAAGACCATCTATAGTTAAGGATCATTTAGACCGAATAACTTGGTAGAGCTGGTGTCTTTTTTGCGGGGGAGGTGAGGGGTGCTGGGGATTGAATCCAGAGCCTTTCCCATGCTAGACAAGTGCTCTACTCTTGGGCTGCAACCCCAACCCAGGTTTTTGTTTTTCCCCCCAGACTGGGTTTCTCTGTATAACAGCCATGGCTGTCCTGGAACTCACTCTGTAGACCAGACTGGCTTCAGAGATCCACCTGCCTCTACCTCCCAAGTGCTGGGAGTAAAGGCGTGTGCCACCACCATCCGGCACATGATGTATTTTAAAGAGATTTATTTATTTTTATGTGTATAAATGTTTTGCCTTCATAATGAATGTGCACCATGTATGCCTGGGGTCCGAGCTCAGAAGAGAGCATCGAAGCCTCTGGGACTGGAATTACAGATGCTTGTGAGCCACTGTGTGGGTGCTGGGACCTGAACCCATGCATTCTAGGTGACAGAGTCCAGTGTCCAGGTGGAGAGCTGCTCAGTTGCCTTGCTTGAGTATAAGTTAGTGTTCAACCAAATTGTTTAGTGTTTTTATTTCTTTAAAGGTGTGTGTGTGTGTGTGTGTACATGGGTGTGTGAGCCCTACTTGTGTGCAGGTGCCCAAGGAGGCCAGACGAGGGCATGGGATTCCCTGGAGTTGCTCAGTGTGGGCGCTGGGATCCGAACTTGAGTCCTCTGGTGGAGGAGCAGGCTCTCTTCACCACAGAGCCATCTTTCTAGCACCTCTTTTTAGCATTTTTAACTTGAGAACTAAATACCTGCCATGTACATTGTGGTCAAGATCGAGAACTTGCTCAGCCTGGCTGTGTGAGGGAGGACCAGAATCTGACTTTGTAGGTTTCCCCAGGTCATACCCTGTGCTCACACTTAGGGGACATTTTTTTTTTTTTTTTTGTGAGTCAGCAACATTTTACCCTCAAGTCAGCTTGTGCTGGGTGTGGACTACACAGCAAGTATCCTTTAGAGGCCTAAAGTGGTTTACAGTGTTGTAATTGTCAGCCTTAATGGAAGAGGGCAGAGCCTGTGTACGAGATCAAAACAAGTAAGAAAACCAGACGCATTCACCTGGGCCCAGGACTCTGTAAGTGAGTGGAATTAGAAGATGGGTCACCTTTTACCTTGACCTTTTCGAGGTCATCTTGTGTGTGGGTATCGCTAGAGCCGTGAAAATGTGTTTGGTTTTCAGCACCCTTTGCTTTCCATGCGTGGCCTTCAGATGAGTGATGGGTTTTTGCCTGTGCACGTGTCTTTCTCTTACAGACAGATGCATTCCAGAAGCCCGTTCCATTGGAGCAGCATCCTGACTATGCAGAATACATATTCCACCCCATGGACCTTTGTACATTGGAAAAGGTTGGCCTCCATCCAGGGCCTGGCAGAGGAGTCGAGATGGCTGAGGCTCTTCCCTTTCCCTGTCCGAGCTCCAGTTACACCAGGACGTTGTCCTGCTCTGTTTTATTCGGATAGAACTCTGTCTCCCATGCCCTTCCTCTGTGACCTCCTCCTGGGGGATCGCAGGGGACTGTTGAAATCCACAGGCAGGGCTTTTGAGGGATAGTCCCAGCTTCTGAGAACTAGTGACTTGATTGATTGATTCTCACTTCCTCTTTCGGAGGCGCTAATGAGAGCAGCAGGAAGGAGGAAGAGAAAATGACATGTTTGGAAACCTCCAGATTAGCAGTAAAGGGGCTTCTTAGAACTGGATTCCCTTTGCCCATCAGGCTATTTCTTTAATGTTTGAAGAGTGTGTGCTAAAATTCCATGGTGAAAACCACACTTAACACTCTGCTTGATCATAGGATCCTCATGCGGAGTTCCCAACTCAGCAGCTAAATATGGGTTTGAAACACATCTTCGTAGGGCTGGGTCTGGCCTGGCCTTGCCTGTGCAAGGCCTTGTCTTTGACCCCCAATTCTGTAAGAAAACAAAGGCATCCATAAAGTAGAACATGATGTCATAATGTCTGCATTAATAATCCCTCCTCAAAGAAATAGATCACATCTACTTTGGAAAATTGCACAGACCCCTATGGTATGCCAGAAAGAGGAAGCATTAAAAAAACAACATGGTTGGGATTCTAGCTTCAGGCAGGGGTTAGGTGTCTTCACATTGTTGTACCTCAGTTTCTTCATTGTCAGAAGCATCTCAAGGGCTCTTTGTGAGAGGCACGTGATCCATAGTGACTGTCTCAGTAGTGATGCTCTGCTATATGAACTGTGCCCTTCATTGGATGCTGCTGCTGGATAAATGACATCATTTTCAAGATGAGAATGTTCAAGTCCCTGGGATGACTCTGAGTGCATTTTATAGGGCTGTAGATCTTGAACCTAATAGCATTCTGGGAAATGAGTTGGAGAGCATTGACTTATTCGGCAGATGGCTTCTGTGACAGGCGTAGGGGGGGACCCAGGTGTTAGCGCTGCTGCCTGTGTCAGCTTGAATGGTCATCCTGCTCTCTGGCTTCTCCTCCCAGAATGCGAAAAAGAAGATGTACGGCTGCACGGAAGCCTTCCTGGCCGATGCCAAGTGGATCCTGCACAACTGCATTATTTATAATGGGGGTGAGTAGCTTGGAGGTTCCTAAGGAAGAGAGTGTGATACGAGCGTGGCCCAGTCTCCTGCCCTGTGTTAAAATGAATCAGGTTTCCTGGACTGGAGCGATGGCTCTGCTTACCAGCACCTGCTGCTCTTCCAAACAGTGTGAGTTTGTTTCCCAGCACCTCTGTCCGGCCGTTTGAAACGGCCCACAACTCCAGCTCCAAGGGATCTGACTTTGCCTGTCTTCTGTGGCTCTCTGCATTTGCACGTACACCCCTACCCCTCATACACATATTGAAAAGAATCTTGAACATCAGGCTTAGGTGATTGGGCAGATAGCCTGGCCAGTAAAGCGAGGATCTGAGTTTCCATTTTCAGTGCCCATATAAAAGCCAGGTGCCACACACAGCTGCACTGGGGAGGCAGAGGCCGGGGACTCTCCAGAGCTCTTGGATCAGTGAGCTGCAGGTTCAGTGAGGGACTCTGTCTCAAAACACCTGCAGAGCAAACCGGAATGCACCTGATATTGAGCTCTGAATATCAGATCATACAAAGGGCTTGGGTGGAGGAGCATAATTTCTGCTCCAGCTAGGATGGTCAGTGGTGTGGGGTGGACGGAGGACGGGGGATGCTCACAGGTCTGCAGAGGCTGCCATGTAGGTGCATGTGTGTGGGTGGGCATGCACCTGTGTGTGTGCATGTGCAAGGCCTGAAGCCAATCCCAGGTGCCATCTACCTTGGTTTCTGTTTATCTTCAGGTCTGATGCGAGCCAATTAGGCTAGAACAGCTGGCCTTGGAGTCCTTATGCTTTTGAGGCAAGCACATAGTGACTGAGCCATCTTCTCCTCAGACCAACGAATTTACAGTTTCTGAAAATGCTGTTAGGCCCAAAGAGAGCACATTTCTTTGGCCACCTTGACCTCTGCTCTAGTGCAAAGGGAAAAAGCTTGGCGTTAGTTCTGGGCCAGATGCTCACATCATTGGCTAGGAGTTGTGGTAGAGGCTGGGACTCCTGATTTGGACTTAGTCTTTAAGTAAATGAGAATCATCACATCTGTTTTTCTACACAGCTTCCGGTGGAGTCTTAGTGAGGCACCAGACACTCCATTTCTTTTTTGCATCGTGTTCTGGGATTATAGGGTTAAGTAAGGCTCCTTTCTGTTAATTATAGCCTTTAGAATGTCAGAGTACTTTGAAATATTAACCTCATCTATAGGGAATTCCACACCAACTGCTCAGTTGCAAGATAATGATAAAGCTTGGTCCTTGATAGAGAAGTCAATAATTTGAATCAGTGTTGGAAGCCTGAAACCTGGGGTTTTTAAGCCTTTAAATGGTGAATCTTGGGGGGAAACAAGTTAAAAAAAATTGTTAATGCAAATGTAATCCTGAGGCAGGCAGCTTGCTGGCTGCCTTTGGAATAATCCAGTTCTCTTACTCCCTTAGGAAATCACAAGTTGACGCAGATAGCAAAAGTCGTCATCAAGATCTGTGAGCATGAGGTACGTGTTCCCTGTCTTCTTGGTGAGGCTGTCTCCTAGAGGCACAGGGAAGCCCAGTGGGTGGCTACTAGGACGTTGGCGTTCATTGTGCTGTGTACAGCATCTTGCTCTTCACGCACATGAAAGCAGGAAGAGGGGCCCAGTGGTACGGGAGCCTGTTAGCTCAGTGGTGATCTAAGGGGATGAGAGTGATGTTCAGCCTGAAGTCGTGGCAAGTCCAGGGAATCCTAAGTTTTCTCGGTTGTCAGTTTGTTAGTTTTGACCTCGGTCTCCACAGTTGGGAGTCAGTCCATGGGGTCATTCATTCTTTTGACAGAGGTTTGTGGTTTTGACTTAAGGGGGACAAGCTCATAAAGTATCTGTCCCCCCCCCTTTTATTTTCAAAATGGGGTCTTATCATATAGCCCAGGCTAGCCTTGAACTTGCTATGTAGATCAACTGGCCTCTGCCTCCCTAGTGCCAGGAATGAAGGTGCAGACCACTATGCCACCATTCCTATCGCTTTGCCTGGCCATGATGGTGTCCCCCTCCCCTTCCCCAAGTTGATTATGTGGTTCTCAGGCATGAAATTCACAGATAATAGTGTGTCTTACCGTCCAGAGATTCGATAGCTCTGCTGTTTGGAGATATTTCCTGACTGCTTCCCAGAACAGCTGTAGCAATGTGGATAACAACCTGAGGTGGATCTATATGGTAGTGTGTGTGTTCTTTCCAACGCAGGAAGTTCTGATCTTTTAAAAAGATTTATTTATTTTATTTTTAAAAAACAACTTACTATTTTTATTTCATGGACATTGGTATTTTGCCTGCAGGTATGACTGTATAAAGATGTCAGATCTTGGAGTTACAGACAGTTGTGAGCTGCCATGTGGGTGCTGGGATTTGAACCTGGGTCCTCTGGAAGAGCAGTCAGTGCTCCAGCCTCCTGTTTATTTATTTTTATTTATGTGTGTATGGTGGCCTGTATATTTATGTACATCATGGGTGCCCAGATGACTCATCAGGGCCAGAGGGCAGTTCCCCTAGAACTAGAGTTACATGAGGTGGGTGCTGGGAACCAAACCCAGGTCGTCAGCAAGCGTGGCGAGTGAGCTGCCTCTGAAGTCCATCTAAATTTAAAAAGTATATGTGTGTACATTTCCTCCATGTGATCGTGGGACATCAGCATTTCACGGTCTTTCCCCTTTGCATTGTGTTGGTAGTGAGTCGGGACGGACCCCTCACTATAGGCTTTTGGGGTAGTGTGAGTAGTGTGTTCTCACTCATTTCCTTCTCCAGTTAAGCTGGCTCAGGAGGGATGGGGATGGACGCGGGTTAAAGATCACCATGTAGCAAAGCTCCTGTTCCACGCGTGGGCCTGCATGGTGACAGGAGGCAGAAAGAAATGTAAGGCCACCAATACTGTGAAGACCATAGTAGCCACTAAGTGGTTGAGGAGACTCATCTGGACTTCAGAGATCTACTGCCTGGGTTCAAATCCATGCCCTACCTCTCTGCCACTCTCTGGGGCAGGTTACTTGAATTTTGAGGACTTCCTCCCTTTCTCCTCCATACTTTAAAATGAGATGACAGCAGTCCATTCTTGTCCCACTGGTGAGGAGTAAAAGAATCCTCAGCCGTGGAAGACTTAGATGGGCCTGCTTGTGTTGAAGGTGGCAGGATTAGATGCCACGGGACATTTAGGATGATGGTATGCTAGGTCTGTGGTGTTTACTGCTGTGTGGATCCTGTGTTGTTCATTATCACTGACTGCCTAGGAAGAGGTGCAGGCCCAGAGGCATGAGTGCTTTTTTTCTGAAGCTTCTGGACTAGTGCGTGGTTGACTTCTCAGCTTAGCCCTCAACTCCAGTTCCAGGGGATTGACACCTTCTAAGGGGCCCAGGCAAAGTGAACATATATACATTCAGGCAAGACTCCTTCCCTGTCTCTCCCTCCTTCCCTCCTTCCCTCCCTCTCTTTCTGTAAACACACACACACACACACAAACAAAGGAAAAAAATTATTAAGCAAACTGTGTCATGTGTGCTGCTGTGAACCTCTCCTGGGAGAGCACTGGGGAGGCCGAGGCAGAAGGCTTCCTTGATCAGCTTGAGGGTAGCCTGGGCTACCTGGCAAGATTCCATTGCTATCTTCTTGCCCCCTAATACGAGAGAGGAAGATCTGACCTTGAAATCAAAGGACAAGCCCTTGAGTGCCAGGGATTTCCCGAGGGCTCCCAGATGTGCGGCCCCACGCTCTCACGGACCCTTGCTTTGCAGATGAATGAAATCGAAGTGTGTCCGGAGTGCTATCTTGCTGCTTGCCAAAAACGTGACAACTGGTTCTGCGAGCCCTGTGTAAGTTGGGACTCTAGCCCTTTCTTTCTCGCCTGTAACCCTGGTGCCTTTGGTGACCGGACCAAGAGGGCCCTCTCCAGGGACTCATGAGATGAGGCGGTGAAGTTTTATGTAAGTTGTTCTGAAAAAGTCAGGACGGAACGGAATGAACTGGACTTGGGCAAACCTATTGGGCCAAACTGTTTTGTTCCAGCGTTAAGCATCCTGGTGACTAGGTTGACTCGATAGGGGGATGTGACAAGTGGGATGCAGGTCACAGGACATCAGAATCCTGTCTGCAGTTTGCTGAGTCATTTTTAAATCTGGCTGGGCCTGTTTTAAGACCTTTGCACGTACATCCCTGGAGGACCAGCTCAGGCTCTCCAGAGAGGTGCAAAGTCACCCTCGTGGACTTTTGCTTCTCCTACAGTGTTGGGCATTGACTGAATCCAGTATGTTTTAAGCAGTGGTTCTCAAGCTTCCTAATGCTGCAACCCTTTAATACAGTCCTCATGTTGTGGTGACCCCTAACCGTAAAATTATTTTCCTAGCCACTCCGTAACTGCAGTTCTGCTACTGTTACGAAGCCTAATGTAAATATCTATGTTTTCTGATGGTCTTAGGCGATCCCCGTGAAAGGGTCATTGAATTCCTCAATGAGGTCGTGAACCCCAGGTTGAGAAGCAGCCGTTTTGCAGAGATGTGCAGCTCGGGGTGGAGTGGGAGTATGTGAGAGAGAGAGAGGCAGGGTGGAGGGTTGGAGAGGGCAAGACTGGACAAGTGACGGTTAAAACGTAGCCCAGGCTGCTTCTTGCCTCTGAGATAAACACCGGTGTGATCACAGCCCTGCAGAGGCTCCTGCCGTCCCTCCCTGCCGAGCTCCACATTTTGTCCAGATGGCACAGAGTGGGTGTTGACTGTTTGTGTGATGCCTCAAGAGGTGAATCTTTTTCTTTTTTCTTTTTTCTTTTCTTTTTTTTTTTTTTT